CTCGGGTCCTTTGAGTGCCTCATCCAAATGCTCTCTTCACTGCATGTTTTTGAGGTGGCTGGTGCTAGTGCTACTTGAAAGCATCCCAAAGGCCTAGTTTTCTGTCAGAAAATACTGATTTGATACAATTGAGAAGTGCTGGGAAAACATGTTACTCCTTGGCAAACATCTGATGGAAAACCAGCCAGTCAGCCAGCCTTGTTCACTGACTCCCTGACTGCCATGGAGTTTTTATAAATGTCTCACCTGTGGAAAAGTTGGGTTAGGGCTAGGGCTAGGCACAAAGAAGGGGCCCAATTCTGTCAGTCACAATCTGATACTCCTAAATTGTCGTCTGAGGACTAATATAAAGCTTCATAGCTAAACAACCCCTCTTTTATAGTTTTAAGTGCCAACTTGAGTCTAGTAATAGCAATGTAGCCATGTTAGTCTGGTGTAGCTTCAACCTGAGTTTAGTATGGGTTTTGGCGTATCATACTGGAGTCATCTAATTGTTAACTGGTGTTTATCTCAAGGCTGCTTCCATTACGAAACTCCTTCAGCAAGTTGATGAATATTCTGGGAGTGACTGCAGCTAGTTTATCACATTCACAGATTTCATTCTCAGGTCTATGCCTTTGCATAAGGTTGTAAATTTTGTCCGAGCCCTGCACCAATACAAAAATTTGTATCTGCAGAAATGAGCTGCAGCTGTCCGCATCTATACCCGTGTATGCAGATACCTGCAGGGATAATGTGCAGAATTGCAGGGCTCTACTCATTTAGCGATCCTGAATTTGATGCCACCTCAGTTGGCCAGGCCTATAAAATAAACTCGATGTAACGGCTATGGTGTGACAGGCCTGCACCCTGCAGGTGAATGGATTTCTTCGGGAGTGGGTCAGCTGCAGCTGTCCGCATCTATACCCGTGTATGCAGATACCTGCAGGGATAATGTGCAGAATTGCAGGGCTCTACTCATTTAGCGATCCTGAATTTGATGCCACCTCAGTTGGCCAGGCCTATAAAATAAACTCGATGTAACGGCTATGGTGTGACAGGCCTGCACCCTGCAGGTGAATGGATTTCTTCGGGAGTGGGTCCCCCCTGGTGCAGGTGTGCCCTGCCCCCCCCCCCCCGAGCGCGGGGGCCCCCCCGCC